GTGTCAGTCTGTAAACTACAGAAGCAGCCATGGGCAAATCAAAAAGCAATAATATTGGCGTAACAGACAAAAAAACAAGACTTTAACTTTCCAAAGTTGTCTACATTTTAATCCAGTGAAGTTCATCATGTCTTTACATATATTAAATCCTAAAATATTTCATTACCAGACACTAAATTATTTTGTCTCTTCAGACATTCCTGACATGTTTCAACGTCTTAAGAACATCAGCTGTGACAGCTCTGATGAAGGAAGTAATGCTGCGTTCACACCGAACGCGATTTCAGCATCAAAAACGCGAACAGCGTTAAGTTGGATGCTTGTYCACTTTGAGGTCAGACGTGAGTCAAAACCGCACACACATGGTGAGAGCCTCCTGCTTCCCTCCGCTGCCTGTCTCTGTTTAATGGTGGATGAAAGAAAGAAAGTGGCTTTGCTTTATTTACTGAGAGCAAAAACATGTCACACTTACCAGATAATTAATTCAAAATTAATTCAGAGTTAGGTGAGTTTCACCACCCAGGAACGGCGAGCTAATGAGTCTCGCTTTCAGAATTATTTTTGTCCCGAGCTCGGTTTGATGAGCCGCTGACCCACATGTGTGCTGATATCTCCTGCCCAGACACCGACTTCAGGCACTCAATATCAGCTAAAGGGCTCCTCTCCATCTGTCTCAGGTTAGTGGACATCATTCAGGAAACTGTCCCGTCGGAAATATGTCACTATGTCACACAGTGGAGTCTCTCTGATTGGTTGACGCACCGCGTTGAGCTGCAGAAGTTCAGATTTTCCAACGACAGCGTTTGAAGTGCGTAACACACGTCAATCATGTTGAACGCTCAAATCACGCTGCGCTAGACACACCGCAACACTTCCCAACTCTCCTCGARGCGCATCCACCATAGACTTTACATGTAAACCTGACACTCCTGACACTCAAAATGTATTTGGTGTGAACATCAAATAAAATAAGACATTGAATAAAATTTCAMGTATATCTGAAGAGACAAAATAACTTAGTGTCCAGTAACAAAAGATTGATTTTAGGATTTATTGGCTACATTTTCCTGAAAAGCAACCAAAGAAAGTAAAATACAGTCTCTGTCATTCCATGTAAGGACCAGCGACCGTAAAAAAAAAATTCACATCAGAAGACGCTAACACTCTGCAGATATCCTCTGCAGATAGGTGAGTTTCATAAGTTAGCTTGTTCTGCAGGTTGATGTCCAATAATTTTTGTTTTCAGTGACTGATCACTTTGTGCTGTAGACCAGTGGTTCCCAACCTTTCTAGGCTTGTGTACTCTCTGAGCCATTTTGTCATACAACTAGTACCTCTTCAGTCAAACATAATGATGATTCTCCAAACCTACAATGTACTACAACTGATTATTACATGAAAATTATTTATTCAACCCCCCTAGAAAATTAATTCTCAAGCATTTTATTCTTTTCAAGTCAAACTAAACATAAAGATAAAAATGTTGCCTTGAAAGTGAATAAGTATTTAAATAAACCAGGTAATGGCAGGTGCAGAAAACAGCAACGTCCAAAATACATCTTATTGTCCAAAATGGGTCAGAAATTCACCCAAATGAGCAAATACGATAAGATTCCACGTTTTCTACTGGATTCCATTTTGTGTTAATTCCATGATTCCGACTGCAATTTCCTCACTGCAGAAATCATAGGGCCCTACATATCTCAGTCCTGTTTTTATTTAGTTTTTTAAACACACCTAGGAAATTTTTCCATGTAATATGCTTGCGTGCGCCTGGTTGGGAATCACTGCTTTAGACCAGTGGTTCCCAAACTTTTTGTCTTCTGACCCACAAAATAACCATGGCAAAATCTTGTGACCCCAAATATGACTGGTCTGAGTACATGAATTTCGTTAATAACCCTAAAAACACAGGCTTTTTGACAATCTAAACAGCTTGTACACAAATATAAATACTTATTTTTACTTAGTTTGTGTTTTTGTAATAGTTATAGGGAACATATTACATCAGCAATTATTTTATTACCCTTTAAATTGATTTCTGGAGATTATCCAAGGTGCTTCATGACCCATAATTGGGTCCCAAGCCCAACTTTGGGAACCAAAGTGCAGTGGTTCCCAAACTTTTCAGCTTTTGACCCACAAAATAACAGTAGCAGAGATCTGTGCCCCCAGCTAGTTTTGGATGATAAACATTTGTATCAGGTCAACAAAACATGGGCATAGTGACAATATTTTTATACTACATATATCCATTTTAAATATACTAACCTCACTCCTTTGTAACAACTAAGGCAAAAATGTAATTAARWCAGAAAATBTTTTCAGGACCCCACCTTGATGTTTTGGGACCCCACTTTGGGAAACGAAGGGCGGAAGGAACTGTCCAAGGTCCTGAAAGTGCTGAAATGTTTATAGACCTTGGAGAGTGTCAAGGACTGAATGAACTGCCCAAGGTACTGAAAGTGCTGGAATGTTGGACAGTGTCAAGGAATGAAGGAACAGTCCAAGGTCCTGAAAGTGCTGGAATGTTTCAAGACCTTGGACAGTGTGAAGGACTGAAGGAACTTTACATGTTCCTGAAAGGGCTGGAATGTTTCAGGACTTTAGACCCATGGTTCCCAACCTTTTTAGACTTGTGCACCACCTGAGTCTTTTTCTCATACCACTAGGTACCCCTTCAAATGTAATGATGATTCTCCAAAACTATAATGTACTACAACTAATTATTAAATGACAATTATTTATTTAACTCCCCTAGTGCAAGCAATTTCTGGTTAGTCTCTTAGCCTAGCTTCATCACGGTCGCACTGCATACGTCGCGGCCAACCGTTAGCGATTGGGCAAATCAGATCTAATAATTTTAAAATTCCACAGAGGCCACGCCTCCAGCAAGCAATCACTTCTCAATAGCAGAGAGTCCAGACCCTCGTACGAAGCAAAGTGAAGGACAAGGGACTGGTTTTAACCAGGTTATCCTGTCTTGTCTTATTCCATTTTTTTTTTGTTTGTTTTGCTCCTTTTTTATGGCACTGAAGTCATATAACTTTTGGACTGCCACATCCAGCAAGATTTCAGTCAGGATGAATTCTTTTTTTTTACTTTTATGCACCTGAACGTCACTTGAACCAAGGTTATTCTTTAGTTAATTTGGACCTGCAAAGTTATGTCTACATCTTGCAAGGCAGGTTAACAGCCCCTCATGCTGGGGAGAGGCTGATGTTTTGAGTTATTTGTACATTAGCTCTTTGTTTAAAAGACTACTTGCAATTTAATGAGTTTTATAYAATTTCATTTTTATTAATTTTACATGTGTAATAGAACTAATACTTTTATGTTTAAGCAACAAGACATTTATTTAACCAAATTTAAGAAAAGGCTTTGTGGAAAAGCTCTGTGCTGACCACTCTAGTTTCATGGATAACTTTGACCTCTTCTGGGAWAGAAAACACCTCTTCAGGTCTGATGGAATGACTCTGAATCAAACTGGAGCACAACTTCTGGTTTCCAACATGAAGTATTTCCTGAACAAAGTTCCAGCTGGAACCAAACAGGAAAAACCTCAACAGCGGACATCTGAAGGACAGCTGGAGAAAACTGAGATATCAGTGGAACACAGCGTGCCAGTTACTGATGAGAAGACTGCTTCAGAATCAGAACCAGAGAGAGAGGAGTTGCTTCAAGCTGCAGAACCAGCCTCACAAACAGAGGATCTCTTGGACTCTGAGACCCCAACAGGACAGCAAGTGGAATGCCCCCTCCTGGATTTTACTAACAACATGGAAGAACCTGGCGAGATTAATATCAAACAAACGCCATGTCCAAATCCACGTAACCCTCCATTTCCAGCCGCAGGAACTAAACCAAGATCTACAAAAAGTTGCAGAGCCCCAACACCACCTCTGACCCTTCCATTTAACAAAACAGACAATCCTGTTTGTGTTCAAGACGATCCAAAGACTTTTGTGTGATAACTATGTTTTGGGGTTAGTGATTACTGTGGGAGGAATAAAAATTGAATTACTGGGGTTGGGATTTCAGAAAAGTACATATACTTAGGTTTGTGTTGACATGTTTTTTTAAATACATGAGTTTTTTTTTTTTTGTTTTATTGATCATTTAATTGGTGATTTAATGAACAGATGGGGGAGATGTAATGGAACACTTTTATGTTTAATCCAGTAATTCATGACATCCTTTAATGACCTAGGTTTTCATGACATGCTGTTCATCTGCAGACAGAATGATTAAAGTCAGAACAAGATCTGTTAACAACAATAATCTTTCTTAGATATCACTTGTGTTTATCTTTGTGTTTTTCATTTGACCTTGTATCAAATCTTGCTAAGATGACAGAATGCTGTTTGTTAATATATATATATGAGGCCTCTCGAGGACAGTGAGTAGTGTGTAGAGACAGTAACAGAGAGAAGCAGAGGCACAGAGACAGGCCAGGTTGTTCTCTGTGTTTCCTGTTGTTGCAATAAAACTCAGCTGATCAGCTCACTGAGTACCTTCATTCTTGGACCACGTATTTCTGTCTTTGTTAAATAAATATTGCCATAACTATGCATTAATGTTAAAATACATCTGAGTAAGTTCTTTAGTTTGAGGTTCAATTTCATARGTTTCATGGGTTAATTTAATTTGCTATGAGAACTTGCTATGTAAAGGTAGAGACATTGGATAACAGTGTGACATTCACAGATGTCAGCAGGTGAGATGAGATGTGTACTGAAGATGGAACAGGAGGTGCACCCACAGGAAGCATAGATGGACGTTGTGACAAAGATAATCATTGGATAATCGACTAATTGAGAAAATAATCACAGATTAGTCGACTATCAAAATAGTTATTAGTTGCAAGCCTACCTCACAGTTGTTCAGGATGACCAGTTTCTCCAGTTTGGCAATAAGCATCTGATCGACTGTTTTGGGATTTCCGTCYCTGCTCACCAGTTTGTTGTTTCGACATGAAAGCCTCTCCAAACAGGGAAGTTTGGCAAGTTCATTAATTACACACCACTGAAACAGAAACACAATCAGTCTGTTTAGGAACATCGGATGCACTCAGAGTAGATGGACTTCTGTGAACTGTTCCCAGAGCTCATTTGCAACAAAAGACAAAAACTACAAGTAGTTAGAACAGGGATCCAAGCCTCTTGACACAAGACKACTCCAATATATGTACCCCCATCCCCACAGACTTGAAAATGTACCTAACACTTGAAAATTCTCTTTGGATTTAAGCACAGTTTGTGTAAAACTTTTAATGCTACAATACTAAAATTGGCTACTCTCACTCTACAGAATCAGAAACCAAGTTGTGAAGAAAACAGGTCAGATCACAAAATCTTTCGTCTCTAAACAGCATTTAGGCTCATTTAGTTCTTAAACTTCTAGTCTGAATGAAAACGATTTTATGTTGGAAGGTGGAGCTACATAATTTTTGTTGTAGCTCCGAGAGATTTTCTGCTCAGGATTGTTGGYCGTATAATTATGCAGCAAAATGCATCCAGAGTTGTTTTCTAAGCACAATGCAGTCCTCTGAATTGGAATCAAATACAAATGTCAGGTGTGTAAAGATTCTCACATTTAATGTTAACCTGTGTGTGATCTGTCTTTTAAATGTAGCTGTTCACACATTGCAAGTGTGGTTTCTCACTTCAGTCTTTTGACAGAACTTTTAAGAGATGTTTTAACAAACTGCTGCAGGCACACACTGACCTCAGAGATGTTGTTATGATCCASACTGAGAAACTTCAAAGCTGGAAACATGGCCGTGCAACATCCTGCAGAGCAATTATTCACAACTTCAGTTTTAATCYAACAAGTTCAAAGTATTTCTGTGTGGCATGTAAGGCAGCAGAATACACTTAAAAGCTAGCACCATTACATCAGTAAGCACATTACAGTATACAGTATATATCACAATGGACTGCAATAAATAACAGACCATTATATTTTAAGTATCTTCATTGATGTTCTGCTCCTAATAATACACAGTGATGGACAAAGCACTCAGTTCTCTTACTTGAGTCAAAGTACTGATCCTACTGGTCAAATATTACTCCAATAAAAGTAAAAGCAGCTCTGTCAAATTATTACTTTACTTAAAGTACAGGAGTATGTGCTTACAAAAATACTTAACTACTGAAAGTACTTAAAATGTTGATGTTTTTTAACAATGCATTTCACTTGAGTGTAGTTGAGAATAATGGGGAAAATATGCTGCTACATTGGACAGATCAGTAACTCCAAATATAATAAGACATTAGTTTTATATAAACTTTTTATTTCTTCACTCCTCAGTCACACTCAGAGGTGGAAGTGTGGCTGCCATTCTGCACCTACGGTCCTTCCAGACCACCACAGTCACACCAACAGATTMATGCATGGGGAACTGTCATAACCCGGGACACAATGAGCCTCATGCAAGAATATTTTCGTATTCTTTTCCTAAATTTCTTTTATTTTATTCGTACGAAGGGCTTGTATGAACATGCCACATCAGATTCAGATGCTTCTATCTTCAGGAAAAGTGTGCAAATGATAGTGCTGCAACAATTAATCAATTAATAGACGACTAATCGATTATTAAAATAATCGATGACTAATTTAATAATCGATT